TGTATTATATAGCTTCTGTGTGTATATATATATATATATATATATATATATATATATATATATATATATATATATATATATATATATATATATATATATATATATATATATTCTACCTTATTTTGTTATTTTGTTTTGTTTTGTTTTTTTTGTCTGCACCAACAACACCAAGTCAAATTCCTTGTAAGTGCTAACCTACTTGGCAATAAACTTGATTCTGATTCTATTACATAGCATAACAGATAAATGGAGGCAGAAGATGTCTTTCAGTCATCAATGCTCACATTCAGCGACACACATCAAGCTGGGCACCGTTTCATTCACAACACCTGTCCCATCAACCAGGAATCAGAAATACTTTAATTTTCCCAGGGAGGGATTACTTTAGTTACATTACTCCATCCGTAATAGAGTGACTATAGGAGCAGATTGATAGAACACTATTTAATACAATATATATAATTAGGGGGTCCCTGCTTTATCTCACCATCAGTTTGGGGGTCCTTGGCCTGGAAAACGTTATAGAACCCTGCTGTACATGGTAGGTAAAAAACAACAAATATGTTTAAAGCTTAGTAAGGAATAATGCATTACTGTCTTTTACAATGTAATTATCTACAGCACCACTTATGTGCTATCTAATATCTTTATTAGATAAAATATAATAAAATTCTGTTCATCAATGTAATTATTTAAATATTACAATAATTTTTATCTCTTTGCTTTTCTAAATTATTCTGTAATACATCTATTACACTAAATATTTCTTTATGTTTTCAGATACTCCCCTCATAAAACTTTCATTCTATTTCTCTTCCATATTTTAGATGATCTAACCTGCTCCATTGTTTCATATCATATTTTAGATAATCTAACCTGCTCCATTGTTTCATATCATATTTTAGATGATCTAACCTGCTCCATTGTTTCATATCATATTTTAGATGATCTAACCTGCTCCATTGTTTCATTATCCACACAAGGTCCCATTTTCCTATATTATGCTTTTACAGTTTCCAAATCCTCCCAGATGAGTCCTTCCTGTTGTAAAGCAATTCAAAGATCCATAATCAATATCTGAGCTAATCAGTCTTGTGTACAAATATTTTAACACTTTTCAATCCGCTCCCCAGTCACTGCCTGCTAAACACTGCTTAATATTTGGGATTTTTTATATTTATCTACCACTTTCTATCTATGAATATTGCATGTTTGTTCATATTCTACTTCTTCCTTTCTTTCTTTGCCTTCTTTATGGCAGAACTGGCGAGCCACTCACTGGCACTGCAGAAGAACCTTTACCATTCAGCCTTCAGGAGGTTTCATCTTTACACTCCTGGTTTTTCTGTGCAAATACCTTATTTGACTTCATATGAATGTAACCTCAGTTTGCCGTGGATGTGAGGTTATGATGTGTTATTTGAATCTGTAACAAAGTCCATGTTGTGTCAGTAAAACTCAAATAGATGTATACCATAAACCAGTGGTTCCCAAAGATTTTCTTCAGGGCCCCCCTTTGGATTACAATAACATTTCCACGCCCCCCAACCCCCCCCCCCCCCCCCCCCCCCACCCCCACCCAAAAATTAAAATCAAAAATCAACTGGGCACACACATCGTTCAACCAAATATAATAAAGCTATACACATATTTTGTTTTCAAACTCCCCTTAAGTTTATTTCACACTTTACACCATCTTTACAGCGGAACACTTTTGTGTAACTGTATTTTTTTCATAGTTCTATACTGTAGATTAGAAGAGGATTCTTTGTTGTCTGTGTTATTTTAAACATGTTTTTTTTATTTGTAACAATATTTAACTTTGCTATCATCTATACATTAAAAAAGCCTCTGTGCAAAATGGAGTGAAAACATTGAACAGCTCCCTGAGAGTTTTTTCTTTGTACTTTAATCCTCCCATCTTTTCAGTGGCTGTAGTGAGCCTGCTTGTTGCTGCAGATCTTCTCAAATCTGGGTTGCAGTGTCACAACTGTCCATTATGCTCAGTCAAGCAAGCACTGTTTTTTTTCTTCATTCATCCATACCGCTTCCCGCGCCCCCCCTGCAATGGCATTGCGCCCCCCCTAGGGGGCACGCCCCACACTTTGGGAAACACTGCCATAAACCAATCAAACATACGCATACTAAGTTATCACACCAGTATATTTATATGAATATCAGCACCAAAAACATTATAAAACACTTTATAAAAACAAAACATAATTTGGTTCTCTTTTTGTACATAAATCTTCTGAAGCTTTGTGAAGGCAATTCTGTGTTTTGCATGGTGTCACAAACCTTAAAAAAATAATGTACCAGTTTAATAATGGAGAAGCTCTTAATCAGCTTTATATTTTTTGATATTTAAAAACTAATTTCTGAGAATGTGTTTATTTTGGAGCAACTATGCAAATTAACAGACACCTAGAAAAAGTCGACTATATTCTATTATGATCCAGAAATGATTCTATTATTTAAATCAGTCCTATCTGTCTTTATCTATGCTGGCTCAGATCCTGACGTTTGAAAAAGGTCTCGTCGCCATAATCTCCACCTCACTGACTGACTACTACCTACATCACCTATATCACTGTAGCAGGGTCGAAAATTCCAGGAGCCCCAAAGCCATTAATTTTGGCGATGCTGATTGGCCAAACATTTATTAATTTTCCCTAGCAACATTAAACAATTGGTTATTTCGCTACACTTCAGAGGCGCTTTGAATGAGCGCCCATAAAGAGAAATAATACATTCTGTCGGTGGAAATGCTCTGTTGGATGAGAGTCAGTTGGTAGAAGTGTTGTTTTAATAATTCATATTACATGTAGACACATACTATTAAGTAAAACTGACATTGATAGTACTTTTAAAATCAATATATATTAGGACTCTTCCCCTCCACATCTAGGGAGGGCAGCGCACAAGCGCCCCCTATGGGCCAGCCGCCACTGCTATCAGTCATGTTCATCTCCTAGCGTAATGATGTGTTGACATCTAAGCTAAGCTAAGCAGCTCAGCTAACAAGGCTAAAGGCTATCCTAATTTGCACAGCATTACAAAGTCCCTCTCGTACCCATAGTGTTCTTACTATTGACCAATGAAAGGTAAAGGAATAGGAGCTACAATTAGCTGGAGACGGATTTAGGGTAAGACTCTGCCATCAACCTAAATGTCAGGAGAGCATTAATCAGAGTCCATGGTAACCTGTGAGGGAGATCCACAGCTGACGAGTGGATCTGCTGGCAGGACAGCTGCCATTATATAGGTGTTTTAAACCTGAGTTTATAAATAAATTGAGTTGTAAATCTGCTGCATGAAAAACTTGAAGGAGAAAAGAGATTGCCTCTGAAGATCCTCAGTCATCCAGGTCATAGTTATTCCAAAAAAGTAAAAAAACAAAAAACAATCCGCTGGACTTTGTTTCCAAGTTTGAAAATGTTTCTCTTCCCATCCAGGAAGCTTTTTCAATTCAAAATGTCAGAGTTGGCATTGAGGTCTAAGTTTTATAGAGTAGCCCAAAACAAAGCCTTGTTTTGGGTTAGAAGACACACAAACTGAACCGGAAGAATGGGTCTGCCCCTTAAGAATAGGGAGTCGTTGAGATCTTTCGTTAGCCTGCAATACCGGGCACTGGTCTATGCCTCTGAAAGGGGAGTCGTTAGGGGGATTGTTGGCCTGACTGATCAGGCGAGTTGTTTTTGAGGAATGCGATTGTTTGAGAATGTTTTTGAAATGAGAAAAGAGATTGTTGAAGAAAAGCATGTTCTTATGACACGCTGGTAAGATTCCCAGTTATCAAGGTCATAGTCATTCTAAAAAAAGAAAAACAATCTACTGGACTTTGTTTCCAAGTTTGAAGACATTTTTCTTCCATCCAGGAAGCTTTCTCAATTCGAAATGTCAGGAATAGCGTTAAGTTTGATACAGTAGCCCGACAAAGCCTGGTTTTAGTTTTGAAAAGTTGCAGATAGAAACGGATGAACGGGTCCCCCCCTTTGGAATGGGGGTCGTTTGGCTTCTTTGATGCCTGCAATGCCCCATACCTGTCTATGTCTCTGAAAGGGGGGTCGTTAGAGTGAATTGTTGGTCTGGATGAATTGGCGATGTCCTCCGCTCTCCTGTACAGAGGCTGGGGCTGCCATGATATCAGGAAGGGATTAACTAGATTCCTGCATTGTAGCTTTTTGAAAACAGGTGGTTTGAGAGGAGTGTGAAGGAAGCCATCTATGTTAAGAAAGAAAAAACTAAACTTAAACAAAGGGGGTGGACTTAGCTTTCAGAAACATAAAGTGCAGCAATTGAGTTACTCCCTTCCTGCTATCATCGCACATGTAAATGAACCTTTATGGAAAAATATTTCAGGAGATCAAATATAATGGAACCTGAAATGGAAAGGAAGCTGAGAAAGAAAAAGGGTGTAAGAAGTAAGGGGAGAGAGAAATAGATAGAGACAGCAAAGAATGAATGAAACAACATAAAAGATATACAGTAACTGCTAGAAGTCTGCTTCCACAGCTGTGTGAGATGAGAGGGAAAGAAAACAGAGAACATAACAACAGCAAAAAGAATAGAATGTAAAACTAAAGCTATATCTGCTGCTTCAAAAGCAGCAGGTATCCCTTAGATATGCATGTGTAGAAGGAAAAATCCTATGCCGTTAATCAGGGGGGGATATATCTGCAGCTGCAGCTTAGTATTCAGTATTAGGGCGTATCTGTGAACACCAGGAAAAAGTTAATTTGTATCAAGCAATGTAAAACTGCAGCACAGACAAAACCCTTTATTGTTTAAACTGACTAGCATGTTAAAGCCCTGCTAAGATCACACCCAATCAGAAGAAAGTGTGATTGAATCCCTCTTTGTGAGTGATTCAAATCACCTCTCCGTTTTTAAACCAAGGTTTTATGCAAGTAGAATGCAAATGATCCAGAAATGCAGTGAACAGACTTCATATGAAAAGAGTTTTCCAGGCACCAGTTCACCCAGCAGGGAGCTGAATACAAAGCACACACGTTTAAACTCTGAGCACCATGCTTCTGTTGAAGTTAATTCTAACTTTAATGGGTGTATTTCACTCCCGCTCTGTAAACAATGATCTGCATGCATACCTTCCTGGGGACATTATGATTGGGGGTCTTCTTCCAATCCACCAAAAAACTAACAGAACAGAAGAACCGGGTCCAATCTCCTGCAAAGAGTAAGTATGTTCCTAATGAAAACATCAGACCTAAATTATTATAAGATCTACTGTTTATTTCATGCTTTCATTTACAGATTTAATATTCATCTTTTTCTGCACTCCCAAGTGATGATCTACGCCATCCAAGAAATAAACCGACGTACACCAAGACTGCTGCCAAACCTCACCCTCGGATATGACATCTATGATACTTGTGGAGACGTCAGCTTGGCCATTAGAGCCGCTCTGCAGCTGCTGAAGAACCAGTCAGACCCTCAGAGGTGTCTCATACCTGCGTACATCAATTCCTCCTTGCCTGAACCCAAGACAAAGGCGGTAATTGGTGAGAGGTACTCGGAGGTCTCCATAGCTGTTGCAAGGATACTAGCTTTACCATCAGTCACCCAGGTTTGTCTTTCACTATCTGTATTATATCACACTACATGGCCTAAGAATAAAAAAAAAATCTGAGTAAAAAGTGTGGCTTGTGTAACAAAGAAATAGGCTACTTGCAGTGTTGAATAAGCTACTGAGTTAAGCTGTCAGTTATATTACAATATATAATTTTGCATCTAAAGGACGAAATCTGTCACGATAAATCAAAGCAAGGGTCGCGAAGGGCGCTGGTGTCTATCTCCAGCTGTCTGAGACCTGGACCTGGACCTGGACCTGGACAGTTCACCAGTCCATCACACAGCAAGATTAGCTTAGCTGGCTGTGTTAACTTCTGCAAATAACTAAATGTGTTCTTTTTGTCATATATCTATATACATATAGATGTAGATACATCTATGTATAGATAGATAGATAGATAGATAGATAGATAGATAGATAGATGGTAGATAGATAGATAGATTCTGCATAATATATCTCCTTTAAAATGCAGCTCTGAATTGGTCATTCAAAGAAAAGAAATGAAAGTTATATCCACCACCACCAATTATTTTGTAGATCTTCAGTCTTCCTGTGTCTCCTCATTATTGCCTGCACTTGTTCTCTGCTCTATTTAACTCCTTAATTATATGCATTCTGGTCCAGAACATCAAAACATGACAGTATTACAGTATTCTTGTATCAATAGTATTGATTAAAATGTGTGTCTCAAGGTTTGTTTATCTCTCTTTTGCTCGGTATAAATATATTGGAAAAAAAATCTACAAATTAGTACAATTTTCTGAAATTAAGTGTATTTAACCTTAATTTGAGTAGGTTCATAAGATTATTTGCCAATGGAGTGAGAATTTTTACTCTTAATATAAGATAATTGGATAATATTCGCTGGAAATTGTTGGGAGCTGGAGAAGTTCCACCTTTTCTCCAGCAGAGTCCGCCGTGGATCCTTCTGACTGAGCCTCCTGCACAGCTGCAGCTCATCAAGATCATCAGAGGATCCACTATATAAGCTGTCTTCAGACCTTGCCTCAACGCCGCAGTGTTGATCCAGTTGGAAACCAGTGTCTCCTCTGTGAATCTCAGGAAGAGCTAACCTGCCGAGCCGACCCTCAGAGCCAAACCCGAAGAACCATAGAGAACTTCCATGCAGCTCAGGACTAAGAGCTGGAAAACCCAAGGCCAAGGTCTGTTCATTAATAGACGTGAGACGCTGAAGCAGCAAGCGGACTCTGCTGATCAACTCCTCTCCAGATCCCACAGTGACTCTCCCAAGGCTAACCTCAAGAACCCTCAAGATACAATCAGTAATCATCCAGAAATCAAGCTCCAACGTGCAACGCTAACTGAACTGTCTCTCACGCAGACTCTGGTGAACCAGTATCCAGGCCCGAGCCAGAACCAGTACATTCTGTGTGCTTGTAGCAAAATAAACTTGTTAAACTTTTATTCCTGTGTCCGTCAGTGGTGTTCTGCATACTTGGGTCGCTCTTTGAGAACCCATCATGACAGAAATAGGACTATGCAATAGTTTTTTTCTTATTTTAAATGTAAATTGTCTGGTTCCATTGGCAAAATATCTCACATACCTCTTTAATTCAAGTAAAAATGCACTAATTTTGTGAAAAAAATACTTATTTAGATTTTAATTTTTTGCAGTGTACAATATGGTGGAATCTTTTTGAGCCGTGTCCTCAAAGTAGATCTATAGCCAACGAATCCAAAAGATCAAAGGTCATGCAAATCTTACAAGGACACTCAGATCAAGTTAATCAGATTACCCATAAATGGTGGTAGGCAGTTACCCCTAAAGACTTCAGAAGTGGTTTAAAAAAAATATTTTCAAAAACCTTTGTGTGGTTTCCATCAAGATGAATATGCAGAAGCATTTCATCCCACCAGGTTATTGTTGATTTTTTTTCTATAAATTTTCCCCTAAAACATGTTTGCTAATATTTTTGTTTTAACTCCACAAATTATATTTGTATAATATCCATGAAAACAGAAATACCTTTCCTTTCTTACAGGTGTGTGTAAACTTCTTACATCCTTTTCTTTCCCTCCACAGATTAGTTATGCATCAACCAGTGAGCTGCTCAGCATGAAATATAAGTTCCCCACCTTCCTAAGGACTGTTTCCAGTGACAAATATCAGACACAAGCCATTTTAGAGCTGGTGAAGAATTTTACATGGCAATCAGTGGTAATCGTGGGAAGTGATGATGAATATGGGAAGTATGGTAGTGACAGCCTTGAGAAACACTTTGAGGAGAATAATATCTGTGTGGATTTTGTAGAGATTCTACCTGGTAACTTCAATGAAAACTCTTCAACAGCAAAAGATCTGATTGAAAAGATAACCACGTCCACAGCTGAGGCCATCATCATGTTCACCAAAGATGCCAATGTTCGTATCATCCTGGAAGCAGTAATTAAACAAAATATCACCAGGAACTGGATTGCCAGTGACACCTGGTCTACTTCTCCAAAGATCTCTGAGATAAAAGGCATCGAACTGATCGGTCCAGTTTTTGGATTCATCTTTAGTCAGAATGAGGTTCCTGGTTTCCAAAATTACGTCCGTTCTCTCTTTAATGGAACTTCAAATGCCATTTTAAGGCATTACTTGCTTTCCATAAATAACTCCAAAGAGGACATGGAATGTAACTGCCAGGAAAAGACTTCCAAGCCAAACTGCTTGCACTGCTACATTGACCACGGTGAATCCTATGGCATCTATCTGGCCGTCCAGGTTATTGCTGAGGGCCTCAGAAGCTTACTAAAATGTGACCATCAGAGCTGTGAACGGACCAGATTCACACCTTTTGAGGTACAGTAACCAAATCTCTGGGTTGTTGATATAAGTCAGGTTTTTATGACAACATAATTCTGACATTGATATTCTGTTCCGTGACAAATTAATGGCTTTAAATTTGTCCCTGCAGCTTTTCAAAGAAATCAGCAATATCAAAATTACTGTGAACAACACAACTATCAACTTTGATGCGAATGGGGATCCCAGTTTGGGATATGATATTATGCTTTGGAACACCTCAGAGTCCAAAGGAGGTGTGGACATAAGAAAAGTTGGAGAATACTGGCCAAATAAGAACATTTCCTTTAGTGAAGATCTATCACAATGGAGGAATTATGGGAATGTAAGGAAGAGATAGGAATTTATAAAGTCAATGTCTGATGAACATATGCTAATTATACTGTCTTTCAAAGGTCTCTGTTTTTAATTGCTCCAAAAAATGCCAACCAGGACAAATCCTGAAATCAAAGGAAAGGGGAGGCTGCTGCCATGAATGCAGTGACTGTTCATCTGAAGAATATTCATTTGGAAATGGTCAGTGCTGTTTTTTTATTTGTTTTCTATAGTTACAGTATTTCCATAAAAAATGTAAACAAAGACATTGCACAATTTCTCTCCTTAACTAGTAGGCCTGTCTGAGAGGCTGCGATTTTGCATATCAGTGCATATGATACTTAATAAAAAAGTATTTCTAGGATTTCTGCAGTTCCTTTGACAACTTAAGAGTCTGATATAAACATACATACAGTGCCACAAAAGTATTTATCTCTTTTTTTAACTTAAATATTTCACAAATAGCTGTTACATGTAATAATGATTTCAAATAACAAAATAAAAAGTAAGTTACACCAACAGAGCCCTTGTTCAACCATGAATTAGAAATATAGTCTACAAAGCTAAATTCATTTGACTTATAAGAGATTAAACTGTGTCAAGACATCACAAATCCAATCTGCAGTAGTGCTAAAAAATTGCTTGGGAGTTTGGGGATTTAGTCAAGTTTAAAAAGAAATTCAATGACATCTATTAGTTCTGGTTAGGGTTGCCAGCTACTATCAAGGCTGTGGGCAGTATACCTCATAGAGACTTATTACACTCAAATGTTTAAAAAAAAAAGATGGAACCTTCTAAAACTCCCTGGCCTTCCTAAATTCCCCTTGAGGGGCCTTAACGATTCACTCAAAAGAGAAGTAAACATACTAAACACCAAGGGGCTCACTTGGACTTGATAGAGTTAATTGTCACAAGGCACTGTTGACCAAAAAAAAAAAGAAAGCATTTGGGAGGATATGCTGTTCGCCAGTGGGACAAGCAAAGTTCCTTGTCATCACAAGATACTTTACAGTCAGTTTAATCAAATCATCCAGATTGGTCGATTTAAAAGTTTTCTATCTGAAGAAACCCAGTGAAGTCTGGCAGAACTTACTACACCTGGCTGAGTTTGTACCAGCAGTGGACAACTGCTTGCAATGTGTCATTGACTTCATCTCTCATACAGAATATGTATAAATGGGAGTAAATCTCCCAAGAAAGAAACCTCCAGTAGAACTTGGCTTGGTATGAACCATCTTCTGGCATGGGGATTAAGCATACACCCTAAAAGGAACATAGGAACACTTATCCAACAGTACGTTTTTGATAACCAGCCATCCATTTTCTCACGCTTAGTCCTTGTCAGGTCGCGATGAGGCCAATGCCAGATCACCAGTCTGTCGCAGGGCAACGCAGAGACACACAAAGAAACACAACCATGCGCACACACACACTCATGCCTAAGGACAATTTACAGAAGCCAATTAACTTAACAAAAACTCATGTTTTTGGACTGTGGGAGGAGGCCGGCGTACCCATCAAGAACCGACGTTTGCAGGGGGGAGAACATGCAGACCCATGCAGAGAGACCCTGGCCAGGAATCAAACCCAGAAATTTCTTGCTGCAAGGCAACAGCGCTACCCACTACCTCACCGTGCAGCCCCAGTTTTTTGGGACAGAGAAATCTAGAAGATAAACCCTTGCAGATAAGCTCTGAGCCAGTATTCAAGTCTTGAAGAGACTAAAAGAGAACACATACAGTTAGACATAGTCTCAATCCCAATACCTCTAATCGGTGAGGATGCCAATGCCACGTAGGCTGTGTTTTGCCATAAGTGCTATCCGAAAAATGCTTCCACTTAGTAAGCGGTTAGGATAGGGACCTCCTGAAATCTGTAGCCAGCGCCAGGATTAGTACAGCTGCCCACAATCCTTTACGTGACAGACACTATTTACACAGACCCTCTCACAGAGTCTAAACAAAATACACTGTGTCGTGTAGTTTGTAAGACACAGAAAATTGTGTCATCAGCTTCACATGTTTTGGGTTTTGTAACAGACATCTTCATTAGTTCCCTTCATTTGTGTAACTAATTTTTTGTAGTTTTTTTCTGGGAGCCTGTAGTACGAATTTGACCAGCGTCATTCATCTGCGTGTCTGATGCATATTGACGTCCGCGAGGGTGGAGCTTGTTCAAATTCACCCAAACAGTCTTTAACTCCTTTCCTACTGTGGAAAGAGTTCTTGCTGTTGACTTCATGAAAGGTGAAGTTATAGAAGCTATAATCTGAGGTACTCAGATTGATCCATAGTCACAGTAGAAACTCAGTCCAAAGCTACGTTTATAAGAGAGACAAAGCTGAATACATTAAGATAGGATTAAGTGTTACATACCCCTGATCTTTGGCTTGTGTGTTCATTTGTTTCAATCTTTAGTAAAATTATAGTCATAAAATCTTTACTTCCGGTCTCATGGGAAATTAGAGTTAAGTTTTTGCTTTGTATTTAATCTTGTTCTGATATTCTCTGTCTGTTTGTTTCTCTTTGCAGATACAAAATGTTTAAAATGTAAAGAGTGGGAGTACTCACCAGAGGACAAAAGGAACACTTGCGTGAATAAAACGGACGAGTTTCTTGAGTGGTCAGACCCCTTCGCCATCATTTTGAGCATAATGGCTGTGCTTTCAATAATTGTTACAGTTCTTATTGCTATCATCATCGGTGTCCACTGTGGAACTCCCATCGTTAAGGCAATTGGAGGTTGCTTGTGTTTTGTGGAGCTCGCCTCTTTGCTTCTCAGTTTCTGCCTAACGTTCACCTTTATAGGGAAACCAACAGCACATTCCTGTGTAGGTATTCCTCTCTTTGGCATCACTTTTTCTCTCTGCATCTCCTGTATTTTGGCCAACCTCATTCAGATCATGGTGGGATTCAGCTTCGACCAGAGGATTTACTTAAGGATTAAGAAGCTTAACCACCCAGTAGCTGTGGTGGTGATCATCTCTGGTGTGCAGGTGGGGTTGTCCATCGCCTGGCTAATTCTTCTCCCACATAGTCCTTTGAAAGTGCAGAAAGCTACAACCATATTGTACCAGTGCAAAATGCATAAGGAGTTCTTCATATTTTTTGCAGTAACAGTAGTTTACAACTCTTTCTGGGGATTTGTTTGTTTCATTATTGCATTCAGAGGTAGACAGCTACCTGACATTTACAAAAACACGACATTAATCACTTTGAGCATGGTGCTGTTTTTAATCATATGGATTATTTTCCTCCCAATTTTCCTCACTATGGAAGGAAAGTACAAATCCGCTATAAGCGGCATGGCCATTCTCATTTCTTGCTTCAGTATCCTTGGCTGTCACCTGGCTCCCAAGTGTTATATTATCCTGTTCAGAAAAGACATTAATAATCAGAATGCTATCAGTGAGTACATTAGAAAACATTATGAGAGGAAAAACCTACCTGTGGTAACATCATCATGATCATACTTTGTCCTGATTTTGGATGAGCAGCAAAACAATAGATGTAAAGCCATTTATTTACATACAATCTATACAGGGATACAACCTTTTAATTTCTACTATGACACCGATATTGGGAATCTAAATATTAACCGATAGTGATGATTATCCAAAATGATATCAACATAATTCAGACGTACTGGTTTGGAAAATAAGAAAATGCTTCATCAAGTGATATTATGCAGAAAACAATATTCAACAAACAGAATAGTAATACTGACCTATGTGTTAATAACCAATGGGTTACATAAACGTTATGTTTAAAGTAGGTAGAAGAGCAGAGTTTTTATCAGCATGCTAATCTAGGAAATTGAGGATGCACAGCAATACATGTGGACTGATTTCTGATATCAATATCATTTTGGGAAATCTGTAGGTGGAACATCATGTGGAAATATTAAACCAACATCTGGAGCCAGAAACTTCAAGCTTGGAAACAAATGGGTCTTACAAAGTGAGTGGTCATCTAGCTAAATTAGAAAGTCACTCCAAGACAACAAGGTCTTTAAGCCACACAGTTTAAATGACAACTTTTAAATAGGAGTATGTAACCCTCTGAAGTTCCATGGAGAAAAATGTATTCTCCAAAAAGCTTCATTATTCTAAGCATTTAGCAAAGAAAGAAATGTTGAGAAATCCTAATCAACCAAAAAAGGCAAAGGTTTAGTCATATATATCGTCAGACTTGCTTCCTTGGATTCCATTCAGTGTATTTATTTAGATTTATTCAAAGTTTTAAATCCTTCCTTCTGTCAACACAGTGGAAATCCTAAACTTGCTTTTAGTAAAATGTTTTAATAATTGATTAAATCAATATTTGAACTTCCAGGACAAAAGAATGGAGTTAATATTTCACTTGAAAGACAAAATGATGTAGTGCTGGTTTCCCACTCCTGCCTCTGGGGATTAAAAGAGAAAAACAAAATAATACAACCGCAGTGGCAAGTTTAAAACAATTAAATCTGAAAGAAGTCACTCTGCAAAGGCTATTTCCTGTTTTAGTGTATTTTGTGGAATTTTTTTGTACAGCACAATTTATAACTTAGCGACATATTTGGATCTGACTTTCATAACTTCAAGTAAGACAGAGCAAATTTAAAAATGGACAATGCACATTATTTATCACAAAACAAACAAACATATGATTAATAAGTATGCTTTATTACATTTGCATGAGAAAGTGTAATTAATACACAGCAAACAATTTCAATGAAATTCCTCAACATAAAACTTTGAGTTAAACCATTTTATATCAATGATGTCATTTATCTACAAATGAGCACAGTAAGAGGGCCGAAGAAAGAGCCTTATTGGATAAATATTTCATGATAAAATCAGTTATGTATATAGATTATCTGATGGAAACAAAATATTAGTAGAAGCTGACATATAGTTACTCTGCAGTCTTATACATCTGCATACATGTGTATTTTCTCAGATTGAGGCTTAGTTATGCTGTAAGATTTAATTATCAAACACGATTTGTTTTCTTTTTTTTTTTACATGTAATTTTCATAGATATGAATAATCTCCCCGATGCTTTCAGTCAATGGTACCTATAAGGGCATTGCAGACTGAAAAGTAGTGATGTCAGTCCAACCTTGATCTGACAGATTGGTGGTAAAACTTAAACTTTGTACTTTATTGGAAGAACTCCTGAAGCATCTGGTTTTGTTGTTTTTTTTTTTTTTATAGCATGCTGTAAATGATTTAGCTTGCAGACTAATTCACATTTATTAGTAGGACAACTCATTTAAAAAAAAAAAGAAATGTTTTACAGTCTCCAATAGCGGGTATCTCTGTCCTGCCTTTAAAGATTTCTGTAGAGGTATTTGTTAAGGCAGTTAAGTTGGGGATCTTAGTGATTTATATTTGGTGTTAAAAATCTTTTCAACTGCATATATATATAAAATGCACTAATTTGATGTTCATCTCTATAACTTGTGCTTAAATGTTTGTGTTGAGAAGGTGGGCCTTTACCTACTGTAAATAAATTTTATGTGTGACATGCTTCTGAAATGTCTTTATATTTTGCAAAATATAAAGCATTCTCAATATCTATTGTTTATAATAATAACTGAATTTTATTGATATCACACTGGAGAAATTCCCTCCGTGCATTTAACCAACCCCCTCGGGCTGCCACTGTGTGGCGCCCAAGAGCAGTGTGGGGTTAAGGGTCTTAAACTCAGCTTAAACTCAGAATAGACCAAAACTTTCTGCTGATATTGGCATTTTTCTTTCCTTTTATCAGCTGTTATGTTTTATATTCAGCCTGTCCATTCAGTATAGATTCCTGTTTTCTTTCATTTATTAAAAAATGTTTAGTGTTTATATTCCTAATCTTGTGCAACATTCGTTATGTTTAACATGTAAATGGAGGAAATAAAAGGAATAACGGCTTGAAAAAAAATCTGCAATGCTTCAGGGACTAGATAGAGTAATGTGAAAATAATCAGCCTTAAAAAACTGTTGTTCAATTTCTATTTTATACAATTATGTATCAATAATTAAAGCAAATATCTGTGAGCTGTTTTCTAATTTGCCCAAAATGTCCCTTAAACAGCGACTTAGAAAGCGAAGCAGCATTTGCTGCTGATTGCTTTCCAAAGTTACTGCAATGCTGGAGCACTTCTGATTAGGCAGCCAATGGCTACAATAATATTGTAAATAAAAGTCCCTCCTCTACACTGCATTTATAATCTTTAATAAAAACACATTAAACAAAGTTTTAAGGAGTGAATTAGGAAATTTTTAGATTATAGATGTTAGCACATTGGAAAACTCTCCTCCATAAATACACTGGTACGAAGATATACGACACCAACAGAGAGACAAGAATGAAAACTGTAATTTCTCAGGACCCATCCATCCATTTTCTGACACGCTTTATCCCACATGGGGTGGCGAGGGGGGCTGGTGCCGTTCTCTAGCTGCCTACGGCAAGAGGCGGGGTGCAGCCTGCACAGGTCGCCCGTCCATCGCAGGAATTTGTCAGGATATGAAGCGTAATTCTGCTCTACTTTATGGTCCATCACAATCGCATCATTGCTACAAAAGGTTTTTAAAAGCTAAACCATCACATCAGTAGCGGTATAAATAAATAAATTTCTTTACCATTACAGATTAATTGTGGCCAAGCTTACCAGCGAGCATTGTTGATATGCAACTAATGTTCATCTGTATCATTTATTTTGTTTTGCACGGATCTGAAGTTTTTACCATTTACATTAGTTTGAGGGTAAAAACTAAAAACAGCCACCAGATGGAGCTCCTGAGGCTTGTGCTGGTTGAGTAACATTCTCAGTTTCTAGTTTGAACCACTACACATGCTGCGGTTCTGCACCTAATACTTTATTTAATAAAAAAATACAAAACTTCAAAAAGTTTCCATAGGAAAGCGATATGAATGTGCAATCCCCGTCTTTCATATCCAGTTCACATGCATCGTTAAACTTTGTCAATATTGTTATGAATAGATATAATTCCACAAGTTAAAAATAGAGAAAAAAAAGAGGGGGTGCAGTCTGCTTTTTGAGTCCCCATGTTTAAGTGTTAATCTTGAAGATATTTCTCTGCTTTGTTCAAAAGCACTTTACTAACAATTCATGTAAATATATTGACACGGATCAAAACTGAAAACTTTTTTCCTAATCTTAAAGATTAACACTTGAGTTCTGTTCAGAAGTGGTGATCATGGAAAAGATAATGATATCAACCACTAGAGGATCTGAATTCCACCTCTGACTGATGCTTAAGTAGCTAGCAGGGCAACATGGCAGCTGACCCAGCAGGTCAGTCAGCACAGATAACGCTGTCTGCAATCTAAACAGTCACAATACAAGCAGTGCTACTGAAAAGTTCACTCAAAGCTGTGCTTCAGTTTACCTCAGAATTATTAACCTCCCCCCGTTCTGAAATGGGAAAGATAAAGCACTTAGTGAACTAAACTAAAGCTAGCAGCCAGCAGCAGATCCATTTAATAAAGCTGCTATTTTATTTATTTCTGGTAGATAGACTGTCTGAGTTGATTCAGCCTCTTAAAGGTTGATTCCTACTTCTGGACAGAACATTGAAATGTGTGCATCAACATGACCCCCCCCCCCCTGTCAAGTAACTGGCCTCATTTAACATGTTTGGAACTTGATGAACACTACCTGCTTATTAATATTATTATTATTCAAAGAAGCTAACTCTAAGGAACGTTGCTTCCTGTTCTAGACCACGTTGGCAGGGCAGGGCTTCGTGGGCATCTCCAAGCTGCTCTCTCTGCCGCAGCACGCTGGGAAGTCGAACAGAGCCGACTCCTCTGCAGGAGCTGGAAGGCCTTCAGAGCAGATTTGCTGCACACATTTCCTGAAGATGAGACGGACACAAGTTAAGCACAAAAAATAAAAACTTGCATTTTTCTTAAGTAGATCTGAGTGTAAGACTCACCAGGCGGGACGGGACATGACGTAATAAATGTCAGGCCTTTGGAAGCCATTAAAGGTGGAGGATGCTGCTACGGTGTAGGCACCCATGTTCTCAAAAACCAGCCAGTCGCCCACCTGGAGGTCAGGCAGGGTGCACAGCTCCACTATCCGATCCAGACCATCACATGTTGGGCCCCATATACTGCAAGGGTAAACTGATTCATCTGGCTTTGGTTTCTGTAAGGAAAAATAAAAATGAAACCATTTCAATTTGTTATGCACCCCCCCCCCCAAAGAGAAAGCTTTAAATCTTCCCAACCTTATGCAACGTTGGCAGACAGTGAGCATGGTCATAGAGGATGCAGTTGAAGGAGCCATACACCCCATCGTTGACATAATACATCAGAGTTCTGTCACTGGTCCCTTCGTCTTCTTCTACAGAAAAATAAAATAATGTTTGAATCAGCCATTAAGCCCAAAACAGTCAACTCTCATCATCTGTTCAACCAAAGATCGTTACCATCAGAAGATGAGTCCTCGTCCATGATGACCTTCTTGGCAATGATATTTACAACCAGTGTGTAGGCAGAGGCTACATAAAAGCGTCCCGGTTCAGCAATGACCCTGACCCCGCAGTCAACTGGAAAGTATTTATCAAGGGCCGAGTTGATCACTACTGTGATCTAAACAAAATAAAAAGAGTACAAAAGTCAGTCTAATTTCACATAAACTTTTTGAGAAAACAAAAGTGTAAAAAGTAAATCCACCTCTTCAAATTTGAGTTCAGTGTCATCTGAACCAGGAAAGCCTCCTCCAATGTCCAGGAGATCCATGGTAAAGCCCAGCTCTCTCTGAAAAAGACAACATTAGGATTCAGAACTCTTTAAAGAGCTAAAATCCAAGTAAATCTGAAGGTGGATATTTCTAAGAAACTCACCCCCATATCAAAGACACAGCAAGCATCAGCAATAGCTTTGGTGTAGGTCTCAGCATCAGTGCAGCCGCTGCCAACATGAAAACTAACACCGATCACATCCAGGCCCAGTTCCTTTGCCTTCTCTAGGAGACCGCGGCAGGCTTTAAGAGGAGCCCCGAACTTCACGCTTAGGGGACACACCGCCTTTGAGTCGTCTGTGGCAATACGCAGAACCAACCTGAAAGAACAGGAACATGAATAAAAGAGAAAAAAAAACAGCTCAAAACACATCAAACAACAAATACTTACTTTGCATCATCATGACAGCGAGCAACTTTCATCAGTTCCACTTCACTGTCAAAGGTCATCATCTGGACGCCATGCGCAGACGCATACTTTATCTGGGAAACCTGCTTGCAGGGATTGGCATAGATGATTCTACTTGGATCCACTCCAAGAGACTGAACAAGCTGGATCTCCGTCTATAGAATGACGACACAGAACGTCAGGAAGAGAAAAATAAATGAAAAAGGTTGGCCCAATTGATTGAACCTTTATTACATATTTGTGACGCATTAAAAGCGCACCTTGCTGGCGCAGTCGAAGCCAGTTCCCAGTGATGCCAGAGTCATAACTACCGCCTGGCTGTCGTTGCACTTGACGGCATAGAACGGCGTGACGCGAGGCAACGCCCTCGCCCAGCGGAGGTGTTTTCGTAAAACATCACCAAGGTCACAGACGTAGAATGCATCTCTATCGTCCTGAAGGAGAATGCAGATTATAAATTACACTTCAGAAACCGATCAGTGTGCATCAGTCCTGTCTAGTATAAATATTAACGCTCTGAAGGTGACAAAACAAAAAGGTAGAGCTGCACTTTTAAAGCGCACATCCTGCTGACAAACCAAACAGGGCCATCTGTCCGTTACATAAACTGCACAGGATGCTTACTGTCAAGGATGACTCATTGATTTTCTGCTCAACAATGTCCCGAGCAGAGAAGCCCTCTTCAAGGAAGGAAAAGTCACATTTGGACAGTGCAGTGGTGTTCATCCTGATTGGTATCGTTTTCTCACACGTAGACTGAGGAAAAACAAAGAAAGAAAAACATTACTCAGATAAAAGCATCTTTTACTCAGCTGATTGCTCACATTTATTGCAGGCTAGGTATAAAATAGAGCATGCAATAAGACAGAGATGAGCATCTACGTAACCCATCACCCTTACTCGGATATGAAAGACTTGGAATTGGGAGATGTCGTCACTCAGGTGCAGAGAAGCCAAGGTGGCTCACCAGTGAAGTTAAACCCCTTCAGGTACAACTCAAGGCCTGGGCCTGCTGAGCAGCTGGACTTTGCCTTCCTAGAGTGAGGATTCTGAAAGGACAAAAGTTTATCATTAAGCAGCCTACAGAATTTAATTCACCAATAACTAAGCATTTAACAAGATCTTTTAAGTCACAACTTTGTGCATCATCCGCCTAAACCTGGAAATCTAACGATAAATTCACGTGGTTTTAAAGTTATATAACTTATGATAACTTGACACCAAAGGAAGAAAAAAAAAGTCAATGAAAGACAAGAGCCGTTAAGTCCCTCCCCTCTTGAAACCGTCCAATCAGAAAGGAAGGACCCCCCCTCTACCTAAAGCCTGACCAATGAGCGACCGATGACGTCGCATGCCGGTTCCGTTGGAGCGCCTAACGCCATGAGGCGACTCTGCGTTTAAAATCATTATGAAACCAACTCACTAAAATATGTAAAAACAACCTTAAAGGCACTGAAGCGAGTTTACTAAAATAACAAGTCTAGTTATCGATGTTTCAAAGCCGGAGGCACCGAGAAAAAGTCTCCATTTGCTGAAACAAAGGAAATGTGTCGCTAGCTTTATTAACGACCATAAAGAAGAAATTAGCACCGCGCTAAAGCCGCCGATTAGTTAAATAAAGTCACCAAAACCCTAAACTTACCTTAAAAAGCATTTACAAAGAGTTTGTCCATTAGCCGATAGAGCTGGGGTTAAAATGAAGCAGTTCCTTCCTACGAACTGCGCTGCTTGAGGAGTGGTCTGCCTGTCTGCGGAGGGATATGCCTCACTGCGGTATTTATAGGGCGGCCGTTTCCACGGCAACGCAGCCAGCTGAAACCGGCCTCCCATCCACGTAGGAACCGGTTTAGGCCTGTCGTCTGACACATGGTGTATATAAAGAGACCACACACTAGGTTTATGGAGGTGCAGCTTCATTTAGTCTCATCACTGAGATCGAGACATAACAGAAAAACACTAAAGTTAAACACTTGGTAAATAAAGGGCCTTAGCCATTTTAAATTACAGTTATTGTGCAAGTAAAACATCTACTGCTAAAATATTCATATTCAAAATAAACAAAGAAGAAATGTTTCTGAGTAAACCAATGGTTATCTAACTATATAAAAATCAGAATCAAGCACAAACTAAAGACATTTAGCAATAACTATTTAGGAGGTAAATAATCCAGTGTTAGATGTGCATCAGTGGGAAATTATGCACTTAACCGATGCTTCAAATTAGTTTCCTGTAACCTGCTCCAAATCCACCATAAGTGGCTTTATGGTTGTAGTAAATAAAATATACCACCAACAGAGTCCAAATAGTTAGTCCAAAAGTATATATATATATATACATATATATATATATATATATATATATATATATTTATATACAAATACAAAAAGAATTTAGTTAAATGATTTATTTGCACAACAACAAAGATATGCAGATTTATTTACTGAAGGGGCCTGGCAAGAAAGTTAATATACTGATAAGGATTTTTTCCAGAAACACAAAGAACGTGAAGGGAATAGAATAGAATAGATTAGAACAGAATAGAAAATCCCTTAATTGTCCGACAATGGGGAAATAGTGGTGTTTACAGCAGCAAAAAGAGTATAGAAAATATAATGGCTCAAAAATATGGACCTCAGAAAAATGTATAAGAATAACACAATAGTGAAGAGTTAAACTTTAAAGGGGAACTCCGGTTTAGTTCAGCGGACAGAATGAATGAACGGTATCCGGTGCGCACTGATGACGTCATACACACGCCGTTTTGTTTTTAAAAGATATAAATAATATAACCGCAGATGTCTGGGGGCCAGTGATTGGCCTCCATGTTCTGAATGCTGGCGTACCATAAAGAATAAATGATGAACAGTTTAGTTTGTGCCTTCAAGTCGTTGCCCATAGGAAGACGTAACTGGATATAACCTAACGGAATATCTTCAGAACGGCTCCAAATGACACTAAACTCATATGGGAGAGTAGAACATGATGGAATAACGGAAAATCAAGGCCCAATGGAAAAAAAAAAACGGGTTCCCCTTTAGATAATAAAAGACTAAACTGTAAAATACTGTGAAGTGTTTTAACAATATAAAAACTTTGCAGATGAAGAACAAACAACAAAAAGTTTATTGAAGAAATGTGTATCGACAGGTTCACCAGATTTTTTGTTGTTAATCCCAGACAACAATCAACATTTAGCTAATTTATTACTGAATGATAATCAAAAAGAAAAAAATGAAAACAGGGCTCCCAGTAAACCACCTTCATGGCTGATTGAAATTCAGGAAACCTGCATTGCATTTATTTTGGTAACAGAGATGCCCAATCATTCCTGGCTGCAATAATCTGTCCGCTCTGGGTGACAGCATGTCACCTGGCCCACTTCCAATCTGTTTGATGAGATTACAGAACGTTAAAGGACAACTGACACGGCAGACTCCTTCACCGAGTCACAATAATATCAGGGTGTCATGTTTCTCTTTAGCCTACTTCTACTGTTACATTCATCAGTTATTTTTGATGCCTCATTTTGTTTTTGTAGTAATATTGTGGTGCTTTCAATGATACAATGGCCCAGTTTATACTAAAGTTGCTCTCTTGATTCTATGGAAATGCTTTAACTCTTTGACCAGACATACATCTTACTCTGATCAGTCCAAAGATTGCTTTCATAGCCCTTTGGTTTACACACAGACATTACCAAATGGAGGAAAATGACGATTTTCGGTTATTTTCACCCAACGCATGTGGAAATGTTGCTCAGACAGAGGATGTAAGACGCTAAGAGGAAGTTTTGGGGCTCCTTACAGACCACATATCTGTGGGCTTGATGTTTTTTCCAGGTCTTCAAACCACAATCAAGATTGTTTTCAGTGCACTTCAGGGTTTCCACTCTGTAGGGTCTTTAAATGAAGTCATTCTTACCAAAAGATTTAATTCTTAATAGCAAAAAATTGTCTGTGCTGGTAAAAGTTTAAATGAGGTACACAGTCAAAGTTTAATGCTGACATAAACTATTATTTCCATACAGAGGAGAAATGCTTTAAGTTCTAATTTTGTATGTAAAGTAACCAGGGAGCAGGAAAACCCTTCAGGTCTAATTCATTTCCATCAAATATGAACTTTTTGGATATTAGAATAATATCAAAATACAAATTGCTCCATGTTCTAGTCGTTTAATCTCTGTTCTGTTTTTGCCTTCATGCAGTTAGTGCGCTACCCTCTCCTTCACCCCTCTCCTTCTCTTCCTCTTGTAATGTCTATCTCCATGTCTGTACAGTTTCTGTTATCGTCACTGTGGACCATTGTGGCCTAGTGCCCACATTCACAAGGTCCCATCCACCAGACAAGGATCGTGATTGTTAGTCTGTGCCCACAAGATACAGTGCAGGGTTTAAAGTCTTGTAGGCGGGGCTATGTCCTTCTTATTTTTAGTTATACAATAGAGTACTGGAGTTCTTTTTATAAACAGTAACTAGTGAGATGCAACAAATAAAACAAAGCAAGTGTGTTAAGAGAGATTGGTGAGGGGGAAGTTAGAGGAACTGTGCAGAGGATGAAGAGCAGGGGTGTGGTTGGCGAGATGGAGTACCTGTGTAGAGACATGTCGGTGCACTTTCCTGGAAACTGAGAGGATGCACCAGTGCACATTCAATAACAAGAGAGATGTGCAAAAGTTATTACCAGGTAATGAATATTTTATGATAGATACAACAATGGTAAAAAATTATTACCCCCCCCCCCTTGCCAGTTGATTATTTTTTGCTTTTTGGTCACACAAAGAAGTTTTCAAATTAGACAGATGCAAACACAAAATCAGTTTACAGTTGATCGTTTTATTTGGTTTAAAAACAACCTTCTTTAAACTAATGTGAACATATTATCACTGATCTCATTGTTGCATTATGTTGTGATGAAAGGGAAGAGATGTTTTAATGTCATTGTGTTTCATTTACCTAGTTGAATAAAGGAATCTATAAACCATTTTTATGTTTCACTGACCACACCCACTAATGACTAAGTCCGGATGTGTAGGATTAGGTAATCACTTCAATAGAACAGGTGTGCCAACATGAGCTAGTCTAAATATTATTGAAAACCAACACACCCTCTAATGCTTTCTAAAGAAGTCCAAAAGAGAAAAAAAACAGTCATTATCAGCATAAAAAGAACTCTTGACCCCAAGTCGCACAAAGGCTGAAAAAAATGTAAAATCCACAGTAAATTTGAGGAAAAAATGTGAAGATGTTTTGTTTTAAGGCAATAGAAGGAACAAATGACAGAGCCTGGAGCTGGAGATGTTGGTGAATGAAAAGTAACCAAAACAAACCATTTAGAATATCAAAGTCACCAAAGTGGTCAGAAGGCTCCACAGCGGCAAGGCTTCAAAGGTGGATGAGATATAGTTTGAGTGACATAGGGCTCTGGAGATTGTTAGACCGTTGTGGCTGACACGCCTTTTCAACATTGTGAGGTGGATAAGGACAGTGCATGTAGACTGGCAGATTAGAGTGGCCTCTTCCACAAGAAGAGCGACAAGAGTGTGTGTTCCAATTAGAGGGCGAGTACACTTCTCAACCTGGCTGGGAAGGGATATGCAAGAGTGATGGAGGAGATAGTTTGGCAGATTGTCAAAACTCCCAAACCCACAAGTGTCTTTTTTGTCCTGGGCGTGAAAAAACCCTTGACCAGCTCTACTAGCTCTGCGGGGAGCTCAAGGGTTTATGGAAGTGTGCCATGACTGTCCACATATTTTGACCCGTGTCCCTCACGGTGCCCTGTGGGGATAATGCAGCAATAAAGGCTGATTTATACTCGCAAACCAGGTTGTCTGCTTATGTCGCAGTGAACGCAAATCTGTCTTCCGCAGACACTTGTACCTAGACCCACAGCTAGTTCCTGATTGGCCCTCTAACGTTGTCGTGCGGAATAACATAGCGCAGACCACGCTTCAATATTGGAATTAAATCAAAAATATCTGCTTATAAAATAAATAACTTTCTTTCTTCACCCTCTTCTAGAGATAGGATGAAGAGCTCAGACATCTGGGAGAGGCTTGGAGTATAGCTGCTTCTCCTCTACATCGAGAGAAGCCAGCTGAGGTGGCTCTGACATTTTCCATGCCACCTGGACACTCCCCTCGGGAGGCCTGTCCAACTATGAGGAGGACCATGGGACGGCCCAGGACTGGTTGAAGGGGCCATGCTTCTTGTCTGGCCCTTAAAAGCCTTGGGCTTCCCTCAGAGGAGCTGAAGGAGGTATCTGGGAGGAGGGAAGTTTGGGAGTCCCCCTTTGACCCTGTCCTGGGCAGAAGAACATGAGACAATACAATATTTCATTTGATAAATAATCAGTAATAGATGCTGTTAAAATGGGTTCTTGAATTAAAAATTGTTTAAATTTTCAACATATTAAGCTTTCTTTTGAAGTACAGCAAAACTTAAAGGATTATGTTATGTTTTATTTAGACTTAGGCAAACTTCATTGTCATTTTGTATACACAGAGTATATATAAAAGAAATTGTGTTGCACAAGAAATTACTTGATCTTCAAAAGCACTTTGGCTCATCATGGTGTATCTGTGCTAATAAATTCTATATTCTTGCCGTACCTTGCCTTAATTTGGATGGTTAGGTCTCATGGTTAATGCAAACCGATAATTCAGACATTCATAAATGCCAAAACAACAACAACAACAACAAAAGAAAAAAAAAACAATTAGGAAGAACTTTAGAAACAGGAATATTTTTCATATGCGCCCAACAAATCTAGGATGGATGCTCGGACACAGTAAATTTGTGTGAG